TTATTATTATAGACCGCGATTTAGCCCTTATTAACGCCCTTATAAGCTTTAAAGAGCTTAATAATATAACTTATTTACTTTACTACTAATATATTAGTAAGAATATACTTATTAAGTATAAAGCTTACTTCCTTAAAGCTATAAAAAATATATAAAGCGGCTAAATTAAACGCATACTAAGCTTTATATTATTTCTTTAAAACTAAGGGGGTCTGGTTAGCTTAGATACTATATTTACCTTTAATTAACGCCTCTATATATATAAGGTAGTAGGGCACCTACCTACTACTATACGTTATACCTTATAAACCTAGCTTAAGCCTTAGAAAGAAAGGTTTATTACTTACTTTATTAATTAAAGTTATTACTTTAAGTATATAATAACCTTAGTTATTAAGAGCTTAAATTCTATAATAAAGCGATTCCTTTAATTATTAATAAGGGACCTTATTACTATCTTTAAGAAATTTAATACCTTCTAAGTATATTAAGACTTTAAAATTAAAGCTATCTATTATTATAATATATATAAGATTATAGCCTTTACTCTTAAAGACCTATACCTACCTATATATAAGAAAGTCTCCTTTTCAGCGCTTAAGCTTATAGCTAATTAATACTATATAATTTAAATAAACCTATATATAAAGAAGCTTATATAGCTATTAAGCTATTACCTTTATACCTTTATTATTAGTATAGGCCTACTATACTAGTATCTTCTCTTTAAGTAGCTTAAAGAGAAGGCATCGCTTTAGCTTAATAACTTTAACCCCTTTTAGTATATATAGCTACTACGAGATATCGTTAAACCCCCCTATAAGCCGCTCGTTATATATAGTAAAGGCAGGTCTAGTAGCGCCCTTAACCTTAAGAAAATATATAGTATAAAGCGCGACCTATTAGTATATAATATCGTAGGAGTATTACTATTTATATATATATATCTCTCTATTTATATAAACGCCCTATTTTTAAGATATATACTAACGCTAGCCCGCCCTACCTATTTATACCGCGCTTATATAGTAGGTAGCGGTAGCGCTTAAATGCCTATGCCCGCGCCCGCCTATATATATATACTATATATATATATAAGATCCTACCTATATTCTATATATATATACTAAATTTAAAGCTATCGCCGCCGCCGCGATAGACCCCCTTCTCTCCCTCTTTAATATACCTATACTACCGTAAGGCGATAATAAATCTTTATATACTAATAAGGAACGCGGAGATACTATCCTGCCCTTACCGCTATCTCTAAGCTTCGAAACCTATAATAAGGCGTATAACTTTATCTAGGGCTTCCTTTATAAGAACGGTGCCGCCGTCGTTAAGCGGTTAGGCTTATATAAGTAAGATATTAATAGGATCTCCCTTATAACCTAAGTCCTCTTTATATACGATCGTAGCCTACGGCGGGCTTTTATTAGTATAGGGCTATATAAGCTATTTACTTAGAAGCTTAACTACCCTTTCCGCCTTATTATAATAGCCTTATATAATAAGGAAGAAGGAGCTTAGTAGTAGACTTTTTAAGTTACTAAGAGCTACTATAACTATAGGCTATCTCTTAATCCCTTAGCGTATAATATTTACCGCCGACGGACTATAATATAGTAAGCTCTTAAGTAGAACCTCTCTTAATATAAAGCGTTGCTAGCTTAAGAGATATTAACTATTTTACGTAAGGCCGAGCCTTTTATAGTATTCTTTTATATCTAAGATATCTATAACGATCGTTAAAAGATCCGTTTTACCGCTTTTAGAGGTATAATAGTAATATAAGCGTTCTTATAGTATCTTTAAGCTAGCGATCTTCCTTATTACGTTAAATTCGACCTATCTAATAAAAATAAGATTTAAGGTATATTATAGACTTACCTATAGTATTAGAAGATATAGAAACGTTTCCCTAAGGTTCTCGGTATTAATAATATATATAAGACGAACCGCTTTAAGCTCTTCTTTTTTTAAGTTACTAGGATTACTAACTAAAAGTCTTTAGTAAACTTTGCCTTTAGCCTTATTAATATAGAGAAAGAGGAGGGATATTAATAGCTTTATAAGTCTCTTAGTAAGTTTCGTAGGGCGATTAATATACGAGAGCCTAATATAGTTATTATAGATAAAGAAGCTACCCTTAAAAAAAGCTCTTCTTTATATTTCCCTTTTTATATAATAATAACTCTATATATTCTATATTAATAGTAACGTTTAAGCTTAAATCTAGTTATACTAGAGAGATAAAGTAAATCCTAATAGCCTTAAAAACCCTATTAATATAGAGATCCCTTTAAAGGTTAAAGCTATTCTCGCTTAAGAAGCCGTCGAATAAGGCGCCGCTAAGTAAAGCGCCGCCGCGGCGGCTAATTTAAACCTCGACTTAGACAGCGAAGTTAAATATAGCTATAAGGGTATATTCCTTATTTAGAAGCGCGCTATTTACGTATAAGATAGAGGCGAATTTCTATAAGGTATAAGAGAAGCTTAATAAGATCTTTAGTATATAGTAAGGCTATATCGTAACTTATATCTTAAACGAATATATACTATAGTATAAGTAATAGGTAAGCTGCCTTATTAGCTAGTATTATAACCTTAGTTAGCGGGTAAATAGCTTAGTTAAGACTACTTATAAGGATATAAAGTCGTATTTAGTTATAGGCACCTTTAACCTCTTATATCTTTACGATACCCTTATATAGATAATTAAGAATAAAGAAATAATATATATATAGAAGGCTACTTAGTAAGAGATATAATAGAGGCGTTATTTCCTTAAGTAGACTTAGCTTAGGGATCTTAGTATTAAAATTACCTATAAAGTAGTTAACTTACTTACTACGTAATATAGGCTTACCCTCGCTACGATACCCTTACTAACGTAAGAGCTATAGCCGTTATAGCCTTATAGCGGGCGATTTAAATACTAATTTAAGCTGCCTTATATATATACGATCCTTTAACGCCTTAAAGCTAGGTTAACGCTTAAAAAGCATAATATTCTCTTATACTAGTAGCTTAAGAAGCTATTAGTAAAGACCCCCCCCCCTTTCTAGTAATTTCTTTACTAATTATTACTATTAAGACCTTAAGGAGCTATTATTATAAATCCGCGATCCTAACGTTATTACGGTTATATATAGCCGCCTATATAATAATAAGCTATCTATACTAAGCTCCCTTATAGCGAAGGCATTATAGCTAGCCGAGGTAGCTATAGCGGCGACGAGGTTATTATAGCTACCTAATTTAAGTTAGGCTAGCTCGAGGCGGCTTAACGCGAGTATTCGAAGGCACCGAGGGTAAGACGAGATAGACGAACTTAGCTATAGCCCGCGTTCTCACGTAGCGTTATAATAAGGATCGTTAGCCCGAGGAAATATAAGGGGAATAGGATTAAGAGAAGGACGCGGTAAGAGGAGCGCGCCTTCGGCTTCGTTAGGGCCGCCGGCTTTATTAGGCGTTAGAGGGCTCGTTAAGTAGGAGGCTATTAAGTAGGGGCGACCGCCGCCGCCGCCGCCTATATAGCCGTAAGCGCTAAAGGGGCCGGATTAATTAACGGGCCGATTATTTTAACTTCGAGCTTAAGGCCCGGAAATACGTTATTTAAGCGAATTAAGAGGCATACGTTATATAGCCTTTCTTGCCTTATATATAGTATATATATATAAGCGGGCGCGGGCGCGGGCATTTAGGCGGTACCGCTACTTGCTATACGGGCGCGGTATAAATAGCCGGGGCGGGCTAGCGTTAGTACGTATCTTAAAAATAGGGCGCATATATAAATAGAGATATATGTGTACAAATAGCAATACTCTATCGTAGAAAGCCTCGAACGTGCTAAAGCTATAAGGCCGCCGCCGTTAATAGCGCCGCCGACAATCAACGCTAACGCCACGGGCGAGATAGCCTCTATACGAGGCTTACGATACCTTTAATAGCACGGCGATCTCTACGAGCCCGGCATAGCGATGCCACGAGCATACCAACGAGCTATACATACGCCTTTCTCTAACGATAAGCCTAACGGGTTATAATACTAGCTAATCGACCTTATATAAGGGGAAATTATCGTCGCGATGCCCTCACGAGAGCCCTCGTAAGAGCTCTCGTCGCAAGATGCAGAGCACGAATCGTTCGAGCCGGCCGAGTGGGAGCGCATGGCAAGGCAGTGGGATAAGATAGAGGCAGACATCTAAGAGGAAGAAGAGGCACGTTAAGATTTATATAGGGACGAACTCGCATAGAGACACGCACCTCACAGCGTGGCCAGACCGCTGCCAGGGCGGGCAGGGCTCGCTCAATCCGACGACTATAAATAGCTTTACTTACGATATATACGTTAAAGAGCCTGCTACGTAGGCGCGGGGAATATGCACACATAAATCTGCGGTATCGGCGCTGCGCCTTGACCAGCCACACTGACCCACTTTTTGATTGCCAGTTAGCCAAACCTGCTTGCTGGTTAACAGAGGCGCAAATTTGTGAAGCATCTGCTTGTCCAACATATTCCTCTTTGGCTCCCACCCTGTGGTACCGTCAGACCATGGAAGGAAGAAAGTGCGCTTCCCCCACCGAGCCAGTAAGCATTCCATCTGGTAGATGTTGGCGTCGTCATCAATGCCGCGTTGTCTTGGCTCTTTTAAGCTTCCTCCCATAGCTCTCTCCTCTGGAATCGCAAGTGCGCGACCGTCAACCTTCGGAATTTTTGTTGGTTTGTGTTGGGGAGCGTGTGCCTTACACGAGGTGGCCCATGTAAACTGTAGCTGAAACGTTGCCGTGCCATTGTCTCGGACGCACTTAAGCACCGCATCGGAAAGGGGTCATTCCTAGTAGCTTGCTAGGCTGGCTGCTTCACTATTTGAAGACGAGATGATGTCGCCGTTGCTCTTTTGACTGCGGGCACGGCGTGGTTGGGGTCTCGGGGGCTGCCAAAGATTCTCACCCTGATCGCGCCGCCTACGAGCCGGGGCCGCAGCTTTATGACGCTATCGTGCTGGCACGTCCTCATCATCAATGCAATCCATCCTGTCTTCCATGTAATCTCTCTTCGCTGCGGCACGCCGATGACTGTGCCTGCCGACAGCCTGGGACATCTGCAATCGCTTCCCAGTCTCGTGACTCGTCGGTATTTAAGGTCATAGGTTTGATAGGTTAGGGTGACTGAAGCTAGGTTGGTGCGGTACGGTAACATTAGTTAAACAGAAAGGAAGATAGTCGCTTTCTCGCCTCCGCAGCGTCCCAGTCAATCAAAACTCGTTTTTTTGATTCCTCCATCTTCATTTGCACCAGCGGCTCCATCGCTGCTAGCTCCTCTCTGTTCAAAAGCTGCACCCTCGTCTTCCACAGTTGTTCCATAGGGATAACTTCCCGCTCACCAAAGAACCTCTCGTCCAAGTACTTCCAGTAGACGGTATCAAAAGCCCAGCTCTTTCTAGCAGCATAGTTGAGCCAGAAGCGGCCCGTCACCCAGCTCTCTCGCATGTACGCCGCGAGCATTAAAGAGCCGGGGTTTATATCTTGCTCTGCCTCTTCTATGGCTGAGAGCCAGGTCTGAAGCCGTCTTTCGTAGACACTGGTCCAGTTGTCAATGCCATCGTCCCACATCTCTGGCACATCAAGTAGTAACCACCAAGGCGGGTCAAGGACAAATTGTGTTGGCCCGACGTATGCATATTCCCAATCGATAGCCCCAAGAATACGGTCGTTCTCATCGACGAGAATATTGGCCGGCCTAAAATCATCGGACCATAGACGGAAAGAGCCCGAACTGGCTGGCGCCGGCAATGTTGCGCGAGCGTACTTGCAGCGGGCTGACCATTTATCCTCAGCAAATCCAAAACTCGATAGTCGGCCTTGCTTGGCTAATCTGCGAAATAGTTGGCGAGCGACATATTTAGTCCTGCAGTCATCTTCCGACGATACTATATCGTTATGCTGGAAGAGGAGAGTTGCGATTTGCATTTCAGCCAATATCGTGTACCACTCACCAGCGGTCTGATATGTGGTGCCCTTAGGCGGAAAGATCGATTTTGGAATATTGGAAAGCTGAACCATGTTGCTCATGTTAAGAGTGAGAGGCCGTTCCATCACGTGGTATAATCCGTTGCTTGTCTCGACGAGGCTTCCGATGCGTGGAAAAGCAGTTTGTACAAGCTGTAGCATACACCGTGCCATTTCAACGTATAGGCGCTTGAGCTTGCTTTCAGAGATGTTGGGTTCCAAGACGGGCGTCTCGTTAGGATCCTCGCGAGAAGCTTCTAGAACTTGGCCCATGACTCGTCGGGACCCGAGGTCTTGAATAATCATGAACGGCCCAATGTCGGGATCAATGCCGTGGTTGAAGTGATCTGGAATCGGGATATGAGTGCGTTGGCTGATGCATGCAGCGGTCGCAGCTTCCGCAAGCGTTTTCTCTTCAGGAAACACCGCCTGGTTAGGGCAGGGCAAGCGAATAAGAACATTGGCGGAAAGACCTTTAATACGTATAGGGTAGAGCACATTAAAGCCGCCAATGATTAATGGAGTGACTAAGGTTGCGGGTTTTGCGAATATCTTCTCGGCAAAAGATTCGATTTTGCGACACGCTGAGGATGATCGAACTTGCTTAATTGCCTCCTCCCAGAGCTCATCGCTCCGGTCCCACGCAAGATCATCAGAGTCCTGTCGAGCTGTCATCCTGGATAAGATATGGTAAGGCTGGCTTAGAAAGATAAGATGGACAAGACAAAGATAGAGCGAACGACGAAGGACCGAATATGAAGATGGTGAACTGAGAAGCGACGCCCAGATGTTTGTCACACGGTCAGGAGTGGCAGACGTCAGCCTACGAAAAAGTGGTGCAGCCAAACGGATGAAAACAGGTAGCCGGTTCGGGCTAGACAGACTCAAAGTCACTCGACGGAACTGGGTATTATTATCATGCCGGATTTAGGTGCAATTTAATTCCTTCCACTGTCCGAGGTACCTACGTAAGGTCCAGGCTAATTACCCCGCCTCCCTGATCGAGGGGAACGAGTAAACACAAGTACCTTATCATGCAGGAGTATTACTATTTGCATAGACAAAAGTCTCTATTTGCATAGACGATCTACTTTTTCTGCGCGTACTCCGCCCGCCTAGGCCCCGCCACCCAATTTAGCTACACCAACGTGGCAAAGGAGGGAGCCGCGCTAGCGTAAAGATTATATATACCTATAAGCCTAGGGTAGCTTAATTCGTTTAAATAACGTATCTTAGCGATTATCGCGAGATATGCGCATATTACGTCGCATATTACGGCCCGGCTAATAGTCCGGCCTAGGCTACGTGGGCGTGGGCTGCGTAGCTGGGATGACCTCCTCTACCGACGAGGCCGGCGTAGCCCTTGCACCTCTGCCCCGTCTCCCTCGAGATCCCCTTCCCCGTATATTTGCGCGCGCTCGCGATCTTCCTAATAACGGCCGGGTAGAGCCCTAACTGCCTCCTTTATCGATCTCGGCTTATATGCGCGTGCGGCGTACGCTGGCATTAAGGCGGCGGGTGCTTGCCTAACTAGACCGCGGCAGCCGTCTCTACGTGCCTCTAACTAACTATAAGGCCGGCTACGAAGCTAGCTGCGCGGCATCGTCGTCTTCGTCTCGATATAGCCTTAGGTCTTAAGGCATAGGTAGGCTAGTATTCTTAGCAACGCGAGGTCGGCTATAGAGGCTTTAAACGATAATAGGGTCTTAGATTTAAAGAAGTAGCTTATTAAGATCCTAATAGTAAGGATTAGCGTAATTTATATATAAAAGGGGGGGCTTCTTTACTAAAGGCTTCTTAAGCTACTACTAAGGGTAAATATCGTACTTTATAAGCGGAACGTTAGCTTAAAGGCATTAGAAGATTATATATATATAAGGAAGCCCTTACTATTATATAAATTAACCTATATAATATAGTAGCAGCTATAACTCCTACTCTTACCTAGGCTTTAAGGGTATCGCGGCTAAGGTAAGCTAGTATTACTTAGTAAGGAGGTTAACCGCTTAGTAAGTAAGTTTAACGTTTAGCTTACCTAGCTATTTTTAGCTAAGATAAAGAAGCCGCTACCTTAACTTTTAGCGGGCCGCCTCTTAGATATAAGAGCGTTCTTTATTTATAATTATTTACTTTAACGTAGTATATATTATAAAGTAAGTAGAGGTATATATATAGGTACTATATATAGGATAATATTAATAAGCTATATAGAGCTCTCTTATACGCGGCTAGCCTATATATATATATATAGGATCCGGCCCTCTATATATAACTATATAGCTTAGGCTATAGCCTAAGCCTATAACCTATAATAGTTAAAGACTCTTATATAATACCCTCCCTTAAGCGCGGCGCGGCGTTACTTAATTAATAGCTTCTATACTATTAGGCCTATACTACTAGCTCTACCCTACCCTTTCCCGTTAATCGTGCTAGCCCTACTAGCCCTATTATCCCTATGCCTATTAGCCTAGGTAGCCGGAACCGGGCTCTATACTTATTAGCCGGCTAGCTATTTAAATAAGGGCGTAACCTATTATATACGCCCCTAGGTAGCCGGCGGCCGGCCTAGACCTACGTAAGCCTTAGGTTGCCCGTTCCCTTAGCCTTAAGTAGCCTCCTCTACCTAAGGGTATATAAGGCGGTATCCCCTCTTTCCTCCTTTTTTCCCTTTTTTTTTTCTTTAACTATAATAATAGTAGTAATAAGTAAGTTCCGCTTTACCTAAGGCGTTAGTTCGTTCTTAGCTATATAGGCTACTTTATTAATATATACTTATAGTAATAGCTATAGCTATAATAATAGCCCTAATAATAATAACTTTAACTAATAAGTTCTCTACCTTATAAAGTAAGAGGCTATAATCTATAATACTAACTTCCGAGATAGATATATCTACCTCCCCCTCCCTTACTTCCTCCTTCTTAGAGCGTATAGAGTCGTTTATCGACGCTATACTAGGCATAGCTAATAACGGCTCCGCTACTACTACTACTCCTACCCGCGCCCCCGCGACCGCACCTACCGCCGCCGCCTCTACCTTTACTATACTAACCGCCCTTATATCGCCCTTCTAGGTAATAATACTATCCCCGCCGCCGGCTATAACGCCCGGCCCCTTTACCCCCGCCTCTACCTCTACTACCCTTATAAGTCCGCTACCTAGCGAGTATAGTAGCTATTTTCCGCTAACTTCTTAAAGTATAAACGCTAAGTATAGGCTAGAGCCGCCCGCGCGGCCCCCTATATACGGTGCGCGTTATAAGAGCTCCCTTACGCCGACTAAGTCGGGCGCCGCCGTAGCGGTAGTTATTACTAGTACGCGCGTGCCGGCCGCGCCTATAAGGCGGCGCCTCTCGTTTTACTCGCTATAGCGTTAGCTTAGAAGGCCGGCGTGTATAGGTAAGTACGGGGGGCGACTAAGAAGCGCCTTACTACCGCCGCCGCCGCCTACTATAATCTCCGCGCCCTTAAGCGCTAGGGCCTTATCCCTAAGTAAGTTCCTCTCCTCTAGCTCTTTTACTTCCGCTACTAACTCTCTTAATACTAGGGATACTACTTTCGTCGCCCTATCGGCGGTCCCCTTAGCCGTGCCTGCCGCCGCCCCCGCTACTACTACTAGCCGGGCCCCCCTTACCCTTAGAGCCCCTAGAGCCGCCGCTACCGCCGACTAGCTTACGGGCTTAGAGGGCTACCTAAGCGCCTTAGAGAGCGCTACCGCCGCTAATAAGGTAAAGGAGGATAATAAGGATAAGGATAAGGATAATAATAAAGATAAAGAGTAGGTTTAGGTAGTCTAAGGGCTTTACCTTAAAATAAACGCTATTTTTATCTCTGCTTATATTATTACGCTTACGTTATTTTAACTACTTACTTTACTTTACTTACTTTATAGTCTTAGCTTAGGCTATTATTAGTAGTTTATTAGTCTATTATTCTTATTTATTATTCTAAATAAGGCTTTAAACTTATTAAGGGCTATAGTTCCTATAAACTTATATATAGGTTCTTATATAAGGTTAAGATACCCGCGCTACTTAACGAGGACCTCTTAGCGTTTCCTTTTATTAACATTTTTCTAGTACGCGGCTTATATCTCTTTATCTTTAAACTTATCCTCTCCCTTTACTTTAATTATAAGCGGTTAAGCGTTTATTACTTTTTATCTAAGTAGCGGGTTAAAGGAGGCTTTATAAAGGAGGTCTATATTAATCTTATTATAGACCCTTATTAAGAGACTATTAAGCTCTATAACCTATAGGCTAATAACCTTCTATACTATAAACTTTATATATAGCTAGTTAAGCTTTTTCTTTAGCTATACTAACTTATAGTTATAGAGGTCTAGCTATACCTTATCTCTTACTATAAACCTATTTACTAGGGCCTTAGTCTTATTAGCGTACCGCTCTTAATCTTATACTATAGCGGCTATCGCGGATTAATAATAATCTATAGTTTCTTATAGCTTTTATATAAATATAAAAGTATAGCCTTTTAGTAATAAATTACTATACTACTTTACTACTATATCTATAGTAAAGGGAACTAGTAAGGGTAGTTTAAAGCTATATATTATAAAGAAAGGGGCTATCTTAATAAAGGTATATAGTTTATTATTTAATATAAGATAGGCTATAGGGAGCTACTAGTCTTAGTCTACTTAATTATAGGCTACGATAGCCTATAGGTAAGCCTATACCTCTTAGTTAACCCTCTTAGGCCCTTTATCTATCTATAAGTAATATACTATTCTAAGTAGCTATATAATCTAAAGTAGTTAGTATAAGTACTACTAAAAGTAGCTAGTTTAATTCGATCCCCTATCGCTTATAATAGTAGCTAGCTAGCTATATAAGCGGGCCTAGTACTATAAGAAGCGCTCTATATAAGACTCTATATCTATAGATAGTATTAGCTTTAATACTATAGACTTACTAAGTCGGTCTTTAATTACTTATATATAGCGGTTACCGCCCTTTATAAGTAAGAGGTCTATTATAAAGTCTATATATATATATATATATATATAGAACTAGTTAGGTACTAGAAGCTACTTAAGTAGCCCCTTAAGCTATAACCTTTAAATATTAATACGGCCGTAGATATTATAGTTATAAAGGAAGCGGCGAACGTAGTACTATAGGAGGGGCTAGTAGAAATCCCTCGTAAGGCCTACTACTATACCTTGCCGACCTAGGTAGCCTATAATACTAGAGTTATAGATAAGCTAAACTAGCTTTCCTTAAAGCTTATTCTATTTATCTAGCTCC